CCTACACTGAGAAAGACCTTTAGTTTTCTGATTCCTTTTCACCAGCCACTCTAGGCATGAGATGCTGAGTTCTAGACATAATGGCCAGAAGCAGTGGTCTTAATGACCTCACTGTAGTAGACACTAATCTTGTTGGCCTCTCAGGTGTCCACAGAATAACCCTTATGAATAAGGTGACTGTGGTGCTCTTCTCTTCCCCATGCAGATACTCGAGTTCTCATTACACGGGGCACAAGAAAAGGAGGGGACAAGTGGCCTCAACTGGGGAGGGAAGTCAGGGCTTAGGAAAGTACCTAGTAAGTGAGGGATTGGCATGGCACCAGGTTCAGATACACTAGATGACAAAACTCATCACTGGGGAGCCTGGGTATTAAAAGTGAGAGGTCACTGAAGTTTGTGTTTGAGGATTCCACTTGTGAAGAAGTGTGAAGCTAGCTGCACTAGCATAAAGAACAAATGGACGCATGGGTAGGGCCTTCGCCTGTTTGGCTTATGTGCTAATTCACTGAAAAGTCAAGGCTTGTCACTGTCTGCTTCTAGCGCTAGAGGTTAATCCCATTACTAGGTTATAGCAGAGACAGGGCAGCCCTTGTAGTGCAGCAGTTCCTGAGTGCGGCTTATGTATACTGTGAGTGAACTGCAGCTGAGACTTGAGCTCAGTGCAGCATTTGAAGCAGACTTTTGCTCCTGGATTTAAAGTCTTGTTTTGTTTGGTTATTAAGCAGAGCTAATTTCCTGTCTTACCTCATTTGTCTGCTTCCCATCCTCCACCTTCAAAGGAGACATTCGGTTATGGTTTTGTTTTTCCAGAGTTCTTGAGTTGCATGTTCAAGCATATATAAATATGTTGTGTTTTTGTTCTCCCCTGATCACACAGAAGTAAGACCCTCTGCTTACTATTTGCTAGTTTGCCTTTCCACCTAATATATATCGAAGAGTCCTGCTTCAGAATGTACTGGCCTTTTTTTTTCTTTCCCTGGATATTGTTTTTCTTTTTGGGGGGCGGGGGGAGCACGCTCGGAGCACACATGAATGCCAGAGGTAGACACTGGGTGTCGGTAAGTCTTTCCTATCATTTTGAGACAAGGTCACTTGGTAAACCTGGTGCTAACTATTTCAGATAGTCTGTGACTGCCCAGTGAACTTCAGAGATCTTTTAGCTCCTCTTCATGGTGCCCGCCGGATGTGGGCCAGTCACTGAAGCCAGCTTTTGAGAGGCTCCGACCCTGTGTTTGCACAGCAAGCACATTGCCCCAGAACCTCCTCCCGAGCTGTTTGTTGTTGCTTTTGAAAATAGTCTGTTTGTGTGATTATTTAATGCATGTCTGTACACCATATGGGTTGAGTGTGCAAGGAGAACAGAAGACTTATAGGTGGTTGTGAGTCACCATGTAGGCGCTGGGAATTGAACCTGGGTCCTCTGAAAAGTAGCCACTGCTCTAAACTAAGCCACCTTTCCAGCCACCTGTTTTGTTTTTTCATAAGTATGCAGTATTGTTTTACAGATCTTTATAGACTCTTTAGCCTTCATCACTTCCTTTTCCAAACTGTTACAGTAAATAGCCCCGTAGAACTATGAATCTGGGAGTCCAGGAAGATGGCTTAGTCAAACAAGAGCTTGCTGTGTAAGTGTGAAGACTTGAATGTTATCTGAAGCACACGTGTTCTGCAGCACAAGCTTGTAATCCCAGCCAGGGTAGATGGGTTTAAAGAGTGTCCTTGGGTCTGTTGGCTAGCCATGGTAGTCCAGCCTCTAGCTACAGGCACAGTGAGAGGCAGTTCCAAAAGCAAGGTGAAAAAGCAATTGAGGAGAGGATCATGGCTTACCTGGCTTGTACATACAGTAATTGTACATTTTGCATGTTTATAGTTGTATTTTTAAAGGAAATTCCAGAAACTGAAATTGTTGAGTAAATTTATTATAAAGGTAATTTTGATGAATTAAGCTGCTCTTCAGTAAGTATATGAATCAGACATTAATGGTATTGAAAATTATATCTGACTTTAATGACTTTTCATGTATGGGAGGCTGACCTTTTGACTTTCACTCAGAAGATCCCAATGGTTTACTAGGGTCAAGTAGGATAAGGTTTCCCAAGTGTGCATGCACTTTGGTTCAGTATCTAGTGCTGGCACCCCAGATCCGTGATTTGATGTAGATAGTTGGCATAAAGTTTTTTTTGTCTGTTTGGTGTTTTTTTTTTGTGTGTGTGTGTGTGTGTGTGTGTGTGTGTTTTCGAGATAGGGTTTCTCTGTGTAGCCCTGGCTGCCCTGAGAGACTCATTTTGGTAGACCAGACTGGCCTCAAACTTAAGGATCCACCTGCCTCTGCCTCACAAATGCTGGGATTAAAGGCGAGTACTACTGCCACACGGCTGGCTTATGGTTTTAAGGGTGATTAGTGTGTGTGTGTGTGTGTGTGTGCGCGCGCGCGCGCGCGCGCGCATGTACACAGGCTTGTACACATGTAAAGGTCAAGTTAACATGGGATGTCCTTTCAATCTCTTGACTTCACTCTGTGAACCAGGAGCTCACCGATTTTCACCTATTCAAGCTAGGCAGCTTGCAGCAGCGATTGCCTCCACACCTGCGTGGCATTTATGTGTGGGTTCAGATGATCTGAATTGCAATCCTTATCAAGGGTTTTTAATCTGTGGAGCCTCTGACCAGCCGCAGGCACATCATTCTCTCTGTGCTGTGATCACTAGTAAGGCTAGAGAAGATGGCAGGTTGAATGAATTCCTATGTGGGCAGGATTTTCGTGGCGGTCTCACCGCTTGCAGGGCACAGTCATTTTGGAAGTTCAGCTGGAATTTTCTTTTTCCGTAGAAATACTGGAAATTTGAAGGCAAAGGAGAGGTGTCTTAGTACAGTGCACAGTGGGAGCAGTCTACCAGTTTAGGTGTACATGAAGTGTGTAACCTTTACCAGGTGTGGTGACAGCAGATTTGAAAATGTTCTAAAAGCTGAAGAGAGAATAAAAGACCAGACAGCGTGGTCGTGAGCAGCTGATGGACTGTTTCAGGGGGAGAACAGGGCGGGACAGAGCTTAGGAGTGCTCCCAGCAGACTACCTGAGTTTGAGGTCAGGCTCTGCTATGGTGTGAGACTCTCAAGTAAATAGGAAAAAAAAAAGTGGCCAGAAGTTGGCTCAATGGGTTAAAGGTGCTTGCCTCAAGACTGATGCCCTGAGTTTGTCCATCTCTAGAACCGACATGATGGAAAGAAAAAACTGACTCCTTTAACTTGTCTTCTGGCTTCTACAATCATGCTGTTGTGTTCCTCCATCCACTAAATGAATGACTGAATGAATGAATGAATGAATGATTTTTAAGATTAGAAAAGGGAACAGAAGAACTTGGCCCTTAGAAAGGATGTACTTATTTTCAGAAAGGGGAGAATAATTTAAATCTAAAACCTGTACAGTTTGGAGTGCTGTTGGATCTTGTTAGTACATTTTTACCAGGCTGCTGCAAAGGTTGCTTAGAAAGAAGACAAAGAATGGGGTGGCCATCAGTGCTCTGGAGTTTTACCTGGCCCTCTGCCAGGGTGCTACTCAGTCCCTCCCAGTTCCCTCTTGGAGCCGGGCTTGCAGGGCTCTGGACTGTGCCACCACCTGTCTGCCTTTCTGTCCCAAGAGTTGTCCATTTTGATACCCACATGACCTAACTTCACATTTTGTGTCCTGTAACATTAATAATAGTCCATTACCTTTATCATCTTTGCCAAAGGCCTCCAGCCTAGCCACATTGCATTTTACTTTAAAAACCAATGAAAGGAGACCAGAGACGGGGTGATGGGTAGAGTGTTAACTGTTTGTGTGACTATGTGGAAGAGGACGTTAGAGACAGGAAGAAACAAAGTTGTATTCAAAAAACGGGATATCGCTGGTTTTATTCTTGATTACCGTCTTAAAAAGTTTTAAGTAAAATAAGGCAGAAGCAGTGACTTCAAATGTAGCTTTGAATGGGAAGGCAGCTCTTAGGACAAAGTGCAAACGTGGGAGACTGTGGTGACGGATGGAGACATGGAAGGGTTAAAGCAGCCTCTCTTACTCCTGACACTGTGGAGGTTGAGGGTGGATGGTTCTCTGCTGTCATGCTGTCTACCCTCTGGGTGCTGTTCCATTCTCATGTCCAGAGTCATCAGCTAATTGATGACTAATGTCCTTTAGGAGAAGGGCAAAGGTGACCCGTGAGAATTGAGGCGGTGAAAGTGGCCTTTGGAAAGTTAGGAGGAAAGTCCTGATGAAGGAGTTGTGAGAATAGCTTTACTTTTCATGGTACCAAGGGCTGTCTCCTCTGGAGAGGAAGTTATAATCAGTTGCTTAAGATTGAAGGTGTAAAAGGCACCTCGGGCCTTGACACTGTAGCTGATGTGAAATTAGATAGCATTTTATAATCAGGTCTAAACGTTTGCTACTTTTTTTCTCTCCAAGAAATTGGGTCTTAGAAAAATTCATTTTTAATTTTCTGAGACAGGGTTTCTCTGTGTAGTCCTGGCTATCCTGGTACTCACTCTGTAAACCAGGCTCACCTTGAACTCAGAGGTCCACCTGCCTTTGCCTCCTGAGTACTGGGATCACAGACATGCACCACTACACCCGGGTAAATTCTTGGTTACTTATTGAGTATATAGTATAGAGGCACAGTGGGAATGTTTAACTACAAGGCTTATGTATGTCTAATTATATTATAAATATAGTAATTGGGTAGATAAGATACTCTGGGACTAAGTCTGTGTCTTTGCTTTAGATAACTGTTAATCTTGATAATATAAAGATAGAACCGAGTCTATGCTCAACACATGAAGTCCATAAAATTCATTATTCATAAACTTGAAATAGAGAAAATATGTAGGTATAATTATAAGTAAAGAATTCTTTTCTCAATTATTTTTTCCTCTACTGATCTCTGTATGTTTTTGTAGGTTATCACTTGGTAGCCAAAAGATCCTGAGAGAAGGGAATAATGACAGATCTCATTCTTATTTAACTTTCAGGCTGAAGAACAGTTGAGAATTGTTGAAGAACAAAGAAAGATTCATGAGGAAAGGATGAAACTAGAACAAGAGCGACAGCGTCAACAAAAAGAAGAACAAAAAATTATCCTGGGCAAGGGGAAGTCCAGGCCAAAGCTGTCCTTCTCATTAAAGACCCAGGATTGAATGGCAAACTGAACTTTTTACAAAGAAAAATGAAAAACTTTGTATTGTAGCTTCATGTTGAAGTGGTTTTTTGTTTTTGTTTGTTTTTTTCTTTTTTTTTTTTTTAATTTGGAAAATCTGGAAAGTTAGCTTGTTCTAATAGGGGCTATGCTCTGCAATCCCTTTATTTTCCCCCTTTTCCTCCATGACATCGAATCCTTATCAGATCATTGCTGTCTTCTAGAAGTGGTGTATTTTTCACCTTTGGGATTCTGTACTGTTTGGTGGTCTGCTAAGAGCAGGTCACTTGGTGACTAGCTGGTCTGGTAAGGTGTTCACTGACCACTGTTTACTACGTCATAATGCTGGTTTTGCTGACTTTTTGTTTTTTTATACATTTATAAAAAAAGAAAAAGTTGGTGATTGCATTACAAAATTCCCAGGGTTTTGCTGGCCTGTGTGTGGTGTGTTGTTACAGCAGTGTCCTTGTGGCACTGTGGCCCTTGGTGTTCCCGAGAACAGGTAAGGATAACAGGTGGTTGCCTGCTACAGAAGCACCTGCAGTGCAGTACTGTCTCTGTTGGACTTTTGTTTCTTTATTGACAAAATCAAACCAGCATTCCCCACTGTAAATAAATGATTTTGCTGAATAAAGTAAAGTCTTAAATTCATATGTTTAAGCAATTTTTTTTTAAAGTTCTGTTAAATCTGAAGTGTGGTTTACTTTTAGAAGCCTTAGAACTGTACTAAATTTCCTCCGGTTTATATTTTCACAGGGTTTCTATGTACACTAACTCTACTTGTGAATTAGTACTACTAGCTATTTTTACAGACACTACTTTATGCTGATAAGAGTTAAAACATCAAGTATTATCTTTGAAAAAATTCTAAACCTGTGCCTCTGTTATAGAAAATAAGGATTATTGCCACAAATTATACTTACTAAACACTAGAAAGTATGTTTTTAAAATTTATGGAATATTAAGTCACTTTCAGAGAAGGTGGACCATCAGATAGAACTTGGCTTTGTTCAAAATGGCTAAAATAATCTTCATCTTTGCATGTTTATTTTTGGGATAAACATTTAAATTCAGTCAGTCTTTGGTTTGGGGGTTTTGTTTGGGTATTTTTGCATGTGGAAACTTAGAGATAACCATGGATTTTATACAGTAGAATCTGCCTCATTTAATCTTTTTATTTGTTGAAGTTTACTAATGTTAAAACACTCAAGAAAAGGCTATAAAATGGTATCGAAAGCGCATAGGCATGGCGTAGTGGAGAACCCGGTCCCTGGCTACAGAACAGTCATATCATTGTTTAACATTGAAAATGTTACTTGAGAAGATTAAATGATAGATTATTTTGTGTTTGCATGCTATGGAAAATGCTGCTGCTTTAGTTTCAACTCTTCGATATGATAAAGAAGAATGATAGAATTTTAAGTAGGCATGAGGTCTATATAGTGAGGTTTTAGTAAACAGGATAACCTAACACTCTGAATACACATTCACTTCTACCTGAATAGATATAATACTTAATCTCATAAGTTAGCTCAAATTATTTCCTGATTCCTATACTTTATTCCTTTGATGTAATTTTTCCATTCAGATTCATTGTCCTCGGTTGTATATAAAGGTTTTGGAAGTGTTCATTAAAAGTTGCTTTTGCTCTACTGGTGTTCTAAGCACTGTATCTGAAGAGTAACCTGGGCTTCTAATACTTGAGATCAGCCTTTTCGTGCCTTTTATTCCCGTCATTGAGTTTCTTCTGCTACATGTGAAAAGAAATCAATTGCTAAATGACACATCTCGGTGTCTACTGTTGGAGACTCCTAGATACTAAATTGTTCCCGTGCTTAGTAACTCATTACTGTTGTCCACTAGGCTATAGGAAAGAGGATGTCATTGTTAGTAATATGCACCCACCTTTTACTGTGCCACAACAATGCAGTAACTTGTTTTCCTCAGTTGTTCCACTGCTTTTGTGTACGTACTATAAGAGCTAAGAATCTTTTTCACAATCTATTAGCAGTTCAGATGTTCCCCTAATTTACTAAATATGCCTTTAATTCCCAGTTTTGTTTTCTTGAGTTATTTGAAATTTTTGATGCATTATAGAATTAATTATTGACTGTTTATTTTTATTACAGTATTTAAAGTTTGTAGTTATTGCCATTAATATTGTGGAGTTTGCAGAATTCTCGACTGTATAAACTAAACCTTTGAATTAGCTTGGTGTGAGGACTCTTTAATGCTTCAAGTAGGGGAAGGGAACCCCTAGGCAAGGACTGTAGTTTCCCTTAGGACGTAGCAAATGAGCCTGTTCCTGTGCCGAGTAACAACTCAATCACTTAATTGTACTAGTGTACGTCCCCAGCATGCCTCTGTGTGTGTGTGTGTCTGTCTGTCTGTCTGTGTGCCTGCATGCACACATGTGCTGTCCTGCCTGTGTCTGTGTGGTCACCTTTCCTAGATAAAGTAGGATCCTCAGTTTGTCACTTAATGAACATTTTCCATGCTGCAATTAGTTTGAGCTTCTGGTGTTCAGTTGTGTCAAATTCTGTTGCTTCTACCCAGAGCATCTGTGCACTTTGCATTACTGGCCATGAGACTGCTGACGATGGGAGTTACCACCTGCTACAGGAGTCACGTGAATACTTGATATTAGGTTTACTATCTGGAAAGGACCTGAAGGTATTGCTGAAGGCCAAAGACAGAGATATGGATAACGGTGTTCACCAATGGTAGACAGCTTAGCTTTCCATTTGTTGGACTGCCATTTAACTGGTCTTGATTCCTTTGCCATCTGTGACATGTGTTGATGGTTTTAGAAGTGAGCTGTCCTGGGGAGGGTCATAAGGACCCTAATGTCCGTTGCGTTGGCTGATGCACAGCACCATACATTGTGTAGCTAGTTGCCATTTGCTTGGCATGGTTGGGATGCTTTCCTTCTGGAAACCAGTGAGGTTATGGTGACGAGAATAAGTGGTTTGTGGAACAGCAACAGAGCTGGCTAGAGTCCAGAGGATTCACGGTGTGGTGAGAGCCTCTCCCTCCATTCTTTTTGACACAAATCCCAGTGCCTGTTTTCTATGTGTTGGAGTGCTCTGCAAATTAGAGGTACATCTATGCTCCAGTCCTTGTTAAATTGACAGACACTTTGAAAAGATCATTGCTCTTTCCCCAATCCTCAGGTCAAAAAACTCTTGTGATTGAAACCAGTGAATTGAAGAGCGATGCATGTTGATGATCCAGCAGTTTCACACAGCTGGATTGTTTACTTAAAAAGGTCAGTTTAGTACCTGCCAGATTAGAATGAAAGATGTTCTCTCATACATGTGACTGGTTATGGTTTTCATTCGGCAAATGGCCCTTCACTTTGGTTAGTTGACAGATAAGGAATTAAGAACTACGGGACTGGTTTGTTGTAGGTCTCGAGCTTTTTGTAACATGTAAGAGGGCAAAAGGATTTGTGAGCTAAAAGTAGAAGCTTTTATTACCTTGTCTCAGTGATTCCACTTGTCCATTTGACTGTTGATGTTCTTAACCAAATGTCTAATCAGTTCATGAAGCAGAGATCTTGTCTAGAGTAAGGCTAGCTGTGTATTTCCTTGTCTGTCGTAATACCTGGCCAGTTGGATGGATGGACCTCCACAGGTCCGTCAGGAAACAGGGTTCATTTCCTAGTATCTGCTGCTTACTGTCACCGCTGTTTCCCTCCATACCGACCCTTCGGTCAAGGATCAAGTTACAGAAGAGTCTGAAGACCAAACTGCTCAGCATTGGGTATAAGGCTTGGTGTGAGGTACATTTTTGCTGGCAAATGGATTGGTCACTGAAACTCAGCTTCTCTGCCTCCCTCTAAGGAATCATTTATATTTACTTTTATAATAGATTGCACTTTTAAAACCCCCAGGTCTTTATTGACTTTGAGAAACTTCCTTAGCTATGGAAATCAGTAACTTCCTCCGCTGAAGTACCTGTTCTTTGGCATAGAGTTGTATCATATTTTCAAAACAACCCAAGAATTTATTTGTAAAATGAGGTCCCAGGGCAGAGGCAATTACACTGATTGGTGTGGCCATGCTTTAGAATTTCTTTTGTACACAGTCCTATGGCATTTTTTGCCTGGGATTATGATAGATGTACCTACCATTAGATACAAATGGCTTAAGGTTATGTTTTAATTTCCAAAATGACTAGATAAGCAGTTGAGGACCCGAATGTTAAGTTTGCAATGACTGGGTCTTTGTGACCAAAGGTATCTATCTGCTCACCAAAGTTAAGTCCAAACCCTTGGAAAGCCACACAGTAGGACTGTTTCATGTGTGACTTTTTAAAAAAGTGTATTTACATTGTTCTCAAGGTGAACTGCTTTGGGTGTCAGAATATGTGGCTTACTGAAAATGGTATTTTTGGAAACTGGGTTATTTTCAGACATTACAAATTTCCTTTCTTTAGTTTACCCGAGAGAGGATGTAAGGGGAGCTAAGAGGTCACAACTTAAATTTCATAACACATACTGAACATCCGTTCAGACCATGACTTACAGCGTTAACTTCACACTAATTTCTATGAATTCCTTAAGTAAAATCTTGAAAACAAGTACTTTTTATCTCAAAGTTCAAATAGCAGCGCCTGCTAGTTTCTCAGTCTTGGGAATCATCAGGAAGTTAAACAATGACTCCCAGGGCGCTGAGTGGGTGAGTCCCTTGCCCAGCGTGCGTCCCTGGTTTCAGACCTCAGTACCCCACCCCCAGTCATTTTGCAGGCTTACTTAAAAATAGTAATTACAAAAAAGACTTTCTTAAAGCTGTATTTGGGAGAGTGAGCCCATTCCATACTTTGGGTGCTTTAGTGTTAGGCCAGTCTTTCCAAACCAACTCCAGTTGCGGTACACGTCTGTTGAGATTTTTGAAAGCACTTTTTAAAAGTTCCGAATTTGTAATGAAGGATGAAGTGTGTGTGTGTGTGTGGGGGGGGGGGGGGGTGGAGTGGATAGACGGTAACAAAACCAGGTATATGTAACTGAGTGGGAATTGTGTTAAATAGGTGTGAAAACTGGTTCCGTTTGCAGGGATTCTGGTATTGACAGCATTTAAGAGCACGTGGAACTGTGCCTTCTGCCTGCCCTGCTGAGGGGCACCTTAAGCAAGTGTTTTTGAGATGGGAAGTATCTCAATCCATTCCTTAGATACTGATCTTCAGCGGGTAGGCTTGTTCTTAAATACAGAGAGGCAAAAGTGGGCGCTAGTGGGCGCTGTGGCTCCGTGGAAGTCACCGACGTGCAGGTTCTCAAACCGGTCTTGGGCAAGCACCAGAGGCTCAAAGAACTGCTGCCACTTCTGCTCTGACTGATAGTCGTCTGGGTCACCCCTAACTTCCCGGCCACTGTGGGGTCGCGGGGTCTCCCTGGAGCTAGTGAAGGGAAATGCACTCAGACATCAGCAGCGGAGCTTTGGAGGCGCTGTTCTTGTGGGTGGTGGGCGGGAAGCGGGAAAGGGGAGCTGCAGGGAGAGAGGACCCGAAATGGGTAGCAGGCAAACGAAGATAGGCGCGGGACGCACACAGTAGGGCGCGGGGTCGGGATGCGCGGCAGACGGGCTCGCACTGCCGGTGGGCTGCGAAGGTTCGCGCTGCCTCGGGAGAGAGATCTGACTTGTGTCGGGCCGGGCCCGATCACTTGGTGCCAGAATCAAGCGAGGAGGCTTTCTCCAAGGGCCTCGGCGCCGCACGCCCGGGGCAGCGCCGCACGGAGGAACGCTTCGTTCACGGACCCTCGCTCTCCCAAGCTAGAGCAGGAAGCCAGAACTCGCCAGCCCAGGCGCGCTGCGGGGCGAGGCGACCCTGCGGGCGCGGGCACGACTGACTCGGAGGCGGCTGACCCTGCGCCCTGCGCCGCACGGGGCCACTCGTGCGCGGTCCGCGGCGCCCAGCGCGGCTCATCCCGGGGGCGGGGCTCACCTGTCAGCGGCGCCCCACCTCGCGGGGCCCAGGGTCGGGTGGGCGGCGGACGGACGGGCGCGCTGCCCAATCCGTGCGCGTTCGCAGAGCGGCGGGCCAATGGGCTGCGTGCGACTGGGCGGGGCCCCACGTTTATAGTGCTCTGACAGCGCGCCCGGCGCGCTGACTCTCCGCGGCAGGGACGGCGGCGCCGGTCGGATTGCGGAGCTGCGCGCATAGCGGGTCCCGGCGCCCTCCCCGCACACAAAGGCCCGCGCGCGTCCGGCGCCCGCGGGGGTCCCAGTGCCCTCCTTCCTGCCTGCTCGGCGGGCCGCGAGCTGCGAGGATTCAGGAGGCGCCCTCTCTTCTCTCTGCGCTCCGGGACATGGAACTGCGCCGACGCGGCGCCCACTTGCCCGGGCCGCTGCCCGCTGCCCTGGATCTATAGTCAAGCGGCCCCTCTCAGGGAGCAGCACCCGCCACCCCACGCCGACTCGCCTCTCCGCTGCGGGCCTTTGTCCCAGCCCTGCGCCCTCGCCGCGCCCGCCCTCCGCGGCTGGCCCGGCACCCTGGAGCCGCACGGGAGCCGGCCGTCCCAGCTGCGTCCGGCGCGGCGCCCCGGAGCCCCGAGTCCGCCGAGCCGCCGCGCCCCGCGCGTTCGACCCCACCCCGCGCGCTGAGGGCCGCGCAGGGCGAGCGCACCTGGCCTCCGCGACCGCTGGAGCGGTGC